AAGGACAGGAAGGCCTGGCGCAATATGGTTCATGGGGTCACGAAGAGTCGGACACGACTTAACGACTAAACAACAATCTTGGTAAAAAGCGACTCTGGGCAGTTTACAGAAAAGATAAAATTAATTAAAAATACAATATAAGAGTAGTCCTAAATAAATAAGTATATTCCAAGTTTTGATGGTAACTAGCGAGTATTAGGCTCAGGGAGCATCATCAGGGCGCCAGCCACCCCCAGGGTTGGTTAAAACTCTTATTGCCCCACACAAGCTGGCAGAGCCAGGTCTTTAGTCCTTTCTGGAAAGTCAGGAGGGTAGGGGCCTGCTGCACCTCTGGGGGGAGAATATTCCAGAGGACGGGAGCAACGGCAGAGAAGGCTCTCCTCCTTGGCTCCGCCAGCCAACATTCCCTCGCTGATGGGGTCCACAACATGTCCTCTCTGCCTGACCAGGTGGTCGATGTGATGGGGATGAGACGGTCCCTCAGGTAGCCTGGACCCATGCCATGTAGGGCTTTAAAGGTAATAACGAACACCTTGAATTGGACCCGGAAGCAAACTCCCACAGTAAAGGTGTTATATGTGCCATCCTTGGGCCACCGAAGATTGTCAACGCAGCCACATTTTGAACCAGCTGTAGCTTCCAGATACCCTTCAAGGGTAGCCCCATGTAGAGTGAGTGTTCAACATTAACCTAGACAAGGTAACTACTATATATTCTGAGAACAAAATGAGCTGTCAACCATGGCAATTTGGATATTAAGATTAGATTTATCCAGAGTATGGAAAAAGTATTGCTAAGTATAAGGCCAAATTAGCAATTTTACTACTATGGCTGCTTGTTTTCACCCTAATTTCATGGGTGTCATATCAATTTAATACATTATTAATTATTTAAAAAGTTTAGATTATTGCTAAGGTGTTCTTTTCTAAGCATAAGTTCAGTAACAGATATAGTTGGCTGTGTACATATTCAGCCTGGCACACATGCCCATAATATACCACCCAGGTTTCTTCTTGGTTTTAATTCAAAATGAAGGAAATTAAAAACAAACAAAACCCAAATAATTCTTTAATTTCAGAACTAAATAGATACAGTTACCTGATGTCCATTTTACCACATATAAGTCTGATTTGTGATTAAATTCTTGACACATCAAAAATAATATTGATGAGTAGCAAATCTGAGCATGAAAACTCCTTGAGTAATTTGCCTATCTGCACTGGTGCTGTGTACCAGGATCTGTTTCCATTATCTGAATAATCTGAACTTTTTGAATTTTTAGATGAATTTCTTTCATTACTATTAAATAAATGCTTCCTTATGTTTTAGGATGGAGATAACAGGACACCCTACAGTGCTGGACGAACTCACACTGGTCCTCCACGTAGATCTTTTAGGGGAGGCACTCAAATACAAAGTACTCACACACAATATCATAATGTAGAACAGGTAAGTTAGTAAACAAGTTAGTTTATTGATGGAAGTTTTTTCAAGCATGATGACTCTTGTAGAAACAAATCTCATCTAAATGCATGTGACTCAACTAAATCAGTTTAGTTTAAATTATTAGCATTTATTTTTTAGGAAACATAGATAAAATACAGTCAACAGAGTTAAATGATCACAAAATAATGCATAAGTTTTCAGAATTCCTAAGCAGATGAGATAATAAAAATTAAAGAACAGACAGGTGAGAAAACCAAAGACAGATTCCATTGCAGTTGTGAGATCTGTCATGGTCTTAAGATAAATAGGATACATTCAATTTATACTCTACTTAGTGCTCTCATGGTTTCAAATTCCTGAGTCATAATGACAATTATATAAGCATTTTATGTATTGGAGTACCTAATTTGTTTATTTTGAAATATCAGTGACCATTCTTGGGTAATTTGTACTAGTGAAAATAACTGAAATACAATGAAAATTTTTAATAAATCCTACTTATGTCCCCATCCAGATCTTGATCCAGTATGGAGCTCTATTGATGCTATGGCTGTACTATATTCACTTTTAGAATCCTATTTACTGTACTTCTGAAACTCTTTTAGCCATAAACAGTATTAATCTTTTCATATGCATGGTTAATAGCATCCATTATTTGAAAGACCCATTTATTATGATAGAACATCTGGGTGAACAGGTGCAATGCAAATGGTCCACAACTGTCCTTCTCGTAGATTGCTAGATTTTGATACCAGAATTTAAGAATGGAAATCTTTCTACCTGTTTGGTTCTGGATCCCAGCCAGTATGTTAGAATTGTATTTTACTCTATAGTCCTGTTATGCTTACCTAGAAATAAATTCCCCTGTGTTTGATAGGGCTTATTTTTAAATAGAAATGCATAGGATTTATAGTTAGTATTGCTAATATTCTGACAAAGTTCACATCTGATTTCGTTCTTCATTATAATAACATACTACACTTCGTTAATTAGTTTAACTAATGAATTTATAAAGGAGAGAGTACTGTAAATAAGAACTTTCTTCTCTTTTTATTGAATAGGCAGCAAGGAGACGTGATCTAAAGAAAATTGAGGTAAATTAAGAAGTAAATGGAACACATTTTTAAAGTGTGCTATACCAAAATGAGCTTTTTTGTATTGATGATGATGATAATAATATATTTATATTTCTTCTACTACTCTGAAACAAATCCCATTAGTAAAAAAAATGTAACTTTACATTTTCAAAATTTTGTTTTTGATTTGCAGTTAAATAGTAGCTATATTCCAGATACTTGTAGGATATCTTGCGTCTCTGCTAATTTGAACAATCTTGAGTTGGACAATTGATAAATATTTAAATGTTACATTTAATTGAATCAGATACCATTATTATGGCTCTGATTATTTATTTTCAGCTTTTTCCACAGGAGCAAAAAACAATACCAGAAAATCTGCCACTCCCAACAGATACATACAAGCTGAAATATCAGCAATATGAAGCAGAAATGAAAGAGGGATATAAACAGTATTCTCAGAGAGCTGCAAAAAAGAAAACAAATAATAACCAGTTTCATGAACTTCCAGGCAGGATAGCTGAAAAAAAGGTAACATTCATACATGATCTAACATAACAACTATTCCTAAAATACTGCAGGGAGATTAGCTCCACTAAAGCAAGTGTAGCACGTAAGATATAATATGGACAATATAGAGGATAATGTATAGATTTCTGTTATGGACTAATAAAGGAGTTAAGCCTTTTTTCCAAATTCTGCTTTTTCCAACATCTGCCTATTCAACTACTTTTTTTTCCCTTTGAAGTTCACTGTGTTTCCCTCTTTGTTTCACAGTTCTGTGTTCCATTTCTTCACATTTTAATTTGGATATGGTTGCCTGGCTAATTTGCTTTCTCATTTTTCCCTTGGTGATTTGAGAATGTGCACTGATAATTCATCTTACCTTGCTGCTGCTTATTTACTCTTTAGGGTTGATTCCTTGATCTTTTGGATGTGTTATGGCTTCTCTGACATTCTGCAGAAGAAAAGCAAACTTCTTCAGTATTTGCTTACTGTCTACTCTCCCAATATTTTGTGTTCAGTTGATAAATCTTTTGGTTTTTGTCAAAGCATTACCTCTGTTCTCTTTGCTTGGCTTCTTTCTGTACATTATAGTTTGCCTTCATGTTGTTTTCAGCCCTTGACTCATTGGTCCTGCTGTCCTCCTAAACTATTTCCCTCTCATCTGCATCTCTTGCTGTTTTCTTTCATTTGGTGTCTCTGTTTATATGCTTCTACACCTGATTATGGAAAATATAATTGATGGCTGACATTGTCCTTTATACATGTACCTTTCTTGGTCATGCACTATTAGCATCTAAAGGACATCATCTTCTTCTCCATACCACCTTAAGGGTCCCAAATACATTTTTTCCTCATTTAATGCAATGCCTACCCTTTTCTTCTACTACTTTCTCCTCTTCCTCTTGCCTTTCTGTTCAAGATTTTACCTCCTCCTTCAATGCCTTCTTCCATCTCTGTCATGTATTTATCTATGTATGTATCTGGCTATCCTAATATCCTCATCTGATTTTGAATGGGCCCCTGAGATTGTGATCATCCAACTTCTAGTTGGTGTCTTTCTTGGTATTATCGATCCTCTCCATTACATTATTAATTTCTATCCTCCTCAATATGCACTGTTTCCCCTATCTTCAATCCAGTTACCTATTCTTCCTCTTCAACTGTTCATTCCATTTGTTTTTCCAGTTTTTCAAGTCATGCTATTTACTTTGTCATGACTTTCTGTCTTTCAACACTTTTTGACCCTTCTGTAATTGCTTTTGCACTACCGTTATAAATACCAAATGTCTTTGTGTATGAACCCATCTGTGGATAAGTTGATCCTTAATTTTTTAACCAAACTACCATGGAAAATGCACCACCTGCAGATAAGCTGACTCTCAAAATTTTAGTACATTTTAATTTTCACAATTGACTTGTCCGCGGGTGGCACATTTTCATGGTATTTTGGTTAAAAAATCAAGGGTCAGCTTATCCACAGATGGGCTTATCCACCAATATATATGGGATATATGGGTACTTTAAAAAAGCTGAGGGAAAAACCTACCATATATACTTGCAGACAAGTCCATCCACAGATAAGCCAAAGCCAATTTTTGGGGGGTATTTTGGCACCTAAAATTCTTGGTTTATGTGCAAGTATATACAATACTACTCTTCCTGACTACAAAATCTGAAGTCTTTACCCACTTTTTGTACTCCTCAATTTTCTGCTATTAATTCAGTTAATAACTGTTATTCCTTTTAGAATAACTCCTTGTGACCGCCTCTTCAATTTCATTAAGGCCCTTCTGAAAATTCCCTTTTATGGCAAGTTTAATCCCTAAATTTTGTCACAGTTAAGCTAAAGTATGTGTAATTAAAATAATCTTGTATTCACCCCCTGCCTATCCATGCCTCCATTTTCACAACTTCTGTATAATTTTAATTTGGAGCCTCTTGGAATAGGGATATGTTGGCATAATACATATTTCATACCTAAATACCACACTGCTCTTCATTTGTAATGTACTGATCCACAGAATAAAACCAGATATTCCCTGGGTGGATAAGCTGTGTTAAGGGTCAAAATCCTACTGGATGGTAGGGAAAGATCGCATCCGGCCAGCAGTATCATATATAGAACCTTTTTTATATCTCCATGTGAAAACTATTGTGCAAATCTGCAACTCTTCTACTATTCCTGGGGGTTTCTGGCTTAAAATAATAATTTAAAACTGTTTGTTTATTTCCTAGTATGGGAATATTCAGCAATTCCTTTAATGCCAGAGATAACAATCAGACTGTTTCACATAATGAATTTTTATTTATTTTAGCAGAAACAAATGCTGCATAACCACAGGACTCATAAATGCCTCAGTATTTATATTCTTTTGAATTTCTGAAAAATTCCAAAAGGAGAAGCTAGGTATAGGAAATATTTATAGGTTATTTCCTGTGCACATTTTAGCAGTAAGGAATTAAAATGAAATAAGAGGTAGCAATAACACTCACTGGAACCACCAATTTCATCCAAATACTCTGTTTTATTCCCACATATGATTTTCAGCCTGAAAACCAAAGAGTGGATGAATTCACAGTTCTTGATGAGAAAGCCCTTTTGCAGCAGTGTTATACAAACAAACCGTATGCTATGCAGCACAGCATAAGAAAATTGGATGCTGTAAGTTTTATGGGATAAATTACAGTGCTAGAATATTAGCATATACTGTTATAGTTAAGTAATGTAAATAAGCAAATTTAACACAGCTACAGCTTGGTATAGTGCCCTTCTAGCTTAAGTGCACACACATTGATTTTTCATCAGGTTCATAGATGAAATGGTATTACTGTTGAAAATATTTTTAGTTCCTTGCTATTTTTACTTTCCATTAAGTATTTATATAAAACATTAATTAAATATGTAAAAACTCTGAGTTTAACATGTATCAAGATGATATAGAACCAGTTTCATGTCAGTGAGTGTATTCATGTTCATGCATGGATTGATGGTTGAATAGATGCTAAGAAATATTTATTTATTTATTAGATTTTTATTCCTCCTTTCATTTAGGAAAGCAAGGCAGTGTGCATAATGCTTTGCCTATTTTTCCCCAAACAGCCCGGTGAGGTGTTGCAGAGAGAGAATGACTGGTCCAAAGTCATCCAGAAGGCTTCCATGTGTGAGGGTAGACCTGAGTTTCCTGCTCCTAGTGCAACCCTTTAGCAGCTACATAATTAGTAAATTTCATTATAGTCACAGTTTAGGATAAGTAATTATGAGTGTGACTTCAGTTGAAACAAAAGTAATATGATTTTTAGAAGTTCCTTCCTATGAAGCTTGCCCATATTGCAGCTATTCAAATTAAATCCAGTTCAATAAAAATGATTGGGTTTTTTTTTCATAGATTAAGATTCTGGTTAATTATCTGTAAAACCTTAAAAGAAGGTAGCATTTTGTATCTGCCTTGGTTTTAAAACAACAATCCTTACTGCTTATTGTCAAGGCACTAAATCCTATGTTACTGAACTTTTAGCAATATTTTTTGAACTACTTAAATGGTATTTTTTTCTGTTTAATGGTTACTTTACAGGAGGAAGTAGCAGCAGAAAGAAAAAAACAAACTGTAGTGGAACAAGTGATGTTAGATCAGTTATCTAGGTAAGATAATAAAATGGTGATTAATTAACTAGAGAAGTACTAATATATAGCAGGGCTGTACATTTCCTTTGAAAGAGGTGATTCACAACAAGCAGAAATGCATACAAAGCCTTCTCGTTGAATCATTAAAGTAGCCCCTTTTTTCTCATAGTATTGTGGTTGCTTCTGGTCATTTTCACATATGTAGCTGATTTGCTGGGAAAAATGCTGGATGTTCATGCAGAGTTTTACAGCAAATAAACTGACCACTGCTAACCCATAAACCATTGTTTACAAACCATGGTGGATTTTACTTGATATACAAAGTCAAACCTAAACAAATGACATTCTTATTTAAGGAAATATGTGAACCCAGTCTTTGAAGGAGCAGAGAATCATGCTTCCAGGCACAAGAAGTAGTTATAGTCATTATAGTAGCTGAGCAGCAAAAAGATGGGGGGGGGGGAAGCAAAGAAGATGTTAAATATGTTGGGAGGATTTGTTCTATTGCTGTACATCCTCCCACAAGTCATCTGTTGTATGCTGATTTATAGTTCTCCGCGCATTAAAGTTCAGTGGATCAGTGAATATGAGACCGGTTTGTGAAGTTAAATTGTGAGACCAAATATTTGGTTATAAAGGAAGATTAAATGGCAACAGTATTGCTCCCTACATATTATTTGGTTAATTGTGTGACTAATTTATTTTGTTGATTTATTTAAAAGACTTAAAAACACAACTCTGGGTGGCTCACAACAACAATAAAAACAAAAAGCAATAGAAACAATAGAATCAGAACTTGGTGCCTGAATTATCCTTGTTCAATGCATCCAATAAAACCATCCCCAGACTCCAGCCTCACTCTATCCCAATACTTGGGGGAAGAACCAGTTCTTTATGGCCTTCTGAAAGGCTAAAAATGTGGGGGCCTGCTGGATTCTGGAGGGAAAAGTATTCAATAGGGCAGGGCCTGCTACAGAAAATGTGCATTTCCCAGGTCCTGCTAGATGGCAACATTCAAGAGAAAGGACCTGAAGCATGCCCACCCTATCTGACCTAGGCCGATGCTGTTAGGAAGAAGCAGTCCTGCAAATAACTTAGATCCTAGTTAAGTGTGTAATAAAATAAAGAAAGTTGTTCCAAATATTTTGCATTGTTATTTACTGATAAGCTGTTTTTTTTTTTGTATTGTCTATTAATAAACATCCCCAGAAGCTTTATACAGATGTTAAATAGCTTTGGGGGCACCAAAGTATTTCTTATAGCACACAGCATAGCTTCCATAGTTTAGAGACATACCACCCAGTATAATTTTCTGTGCCCCAATCCAGAGCCCAGGAGAATTCTGTGAAGGATATCACAAGCCATTGAGAGATCAAGCAGGATCAAAAGAATCACACTCCCTTTGTCTTTTTTTCACAAGAGTTATTTGTCAGAGTGACTGGCTGATTCTTTCCCCAAACCAGGCCTGAACCCAGATTGAAAGGGTTTGAGCTAATGGTGTCATCCAAGAACATCGACAGCTGCACAGCTACCATCCCTTCAAGCATCTTTCCCAGAAGGTCTTTGTAGTTGGGCAGTAATTGGCAAATCCTCTGGATCCAGGGAGGGATAAGGAGTGGAAAGACCAAGTGGGTGCCTCCACTCCCTCATGGATTCACCACTCCCTGCATCTATCCAGCCAACGACCCTGGGCTAGCTCAGATGAGCCAAGATGGATGAGATCAAGAGAACAGGTGATAGGACTGCTACAAGCATCCTATTAAAATATTCAGACTTCACAATTTGAGCAATCCCATACATTAGGATCAGACAGTGTACTGGATACCTTTGTATACTGTATCAAAAGCAAATCAGTGCAAATGCCTCACAGTTCTATCACTGCATGTTTTTGTGGGCTCCAACATTAGGTTTTATGAGACAGATAACAATTTATATGAATAAGTAATGTCTGAGTTATATAGACATTTGTTAGAGATAATCTATTATAAAAATATTAATAACTCATGGCTGGTGAAAAAAATTGAATGAATTTATTATTCATTGTAGAGTTTATCAAAGCCCTTTGATGTGTATATTTTAAAGCCAAAGCAATTTTTCACTCTTTTAAATATCACTGATCCAACAAAAGATACGTGTTGGTTTTCCAGCATTTTGCAGTAACAAACCTAGAAGCTGTAAGAATCTAATCAATTTCTTATGTGGACTTAATTTATAAGGCAGTAGAAATTGTATCTAGGATTTACCCATTTTTTCCCCAAAAATGTTTGTCCAAAATCACAAAATACTCGGGTATTACCACCAAAGATGATAATAAATACCCAGTATATTTATACTCCTATCAGTACAATCTAGAAAACTTGCAATTTACATAGTACAATTTTAGCACTTTTATGTTATGTGAAAAGTATTGGTGGTAATTTTATTAATATTTCTATGATTGTATAGCACTCCTTTAACCTGTAAAGATGAATAGTTTAAAAATCTTGAAATAAGACATGAAATAGGTCTGTATCTTAATTTGATAAAACCAGTTCCATATTTTTTTAGAGCTGTGATAAGTGATCCAGAACAAAATGGAAATTCAGATACTTACAAGATGGATCCTGTTCTTCCAGGATTAAGCACCGCACCTCTACGCTTTAGAAAAAGAACATTACATGAAACAAAGTAAGAACTGTTACACTATATTACTTTATGAGTAATGTCCTCAAAACTATTTCATTATGAAGCTTTCACTGATTTTAGATTGTGTACCTAAATATCTTGATTCTTTATAAAGGAAAACCAATAATTTCTATATTTTTTAAAGTAAAATCTATTTGTATAATAATGTTTGTCTGGCAATGGGTTTTACCTCTTTTTAAAACTTTCCTGCATTTCACTATATGTTTAAATTACACTTATATAGTGCACTGCTCACCATTATATAGACAGGATAGAAATTTAAATAAATTACAGTACTATTCCTCCCATGAGCCAATAAGGCCTATGATTATTTGTTTTATTATTTGTAGCTCATGTCCTTTATGCAATTCATTTGTAAAAGAACTACTGTTGTTTTGGAGTATTTAATTACATTAATCCAGGATCTAATTGATTTTGTAATTAAAAATAGCAAATAAAGAAGACCTGATAGAGATTTATAAAATTAAACATTGTTATGATGAAATTAAATAGATAACAGGATCCCCAATTCCCCCCCCCCCATTCTTCTGCTACTAGAATCTGGGGTCACCCAGTCATACTGAATGTTGGAAGACCTGCATAGTCAAAATGATATACTTCACATGAATAGTTCAGAAGTTCATCTATGAAATTAGCTGCCACATTATGAGGTGATGGATTCTAACTTAACATAAATTCAAAGACGATAAGACTGTCAAATGGCTACTAATCATGTGACATCAAAGTAGCATGCTTTTAAATACCAATTGTTCTGAAAAAGCACAGAATAGTGCTTCCGATTAATATCTAATTAGTCATGGTTCGAAATACATTAATCATGGTTGGAAACTGGATACAGGAATTAAATAGACCATTAGTCTGATCCAACTGCTCTGCTATGTTCAATCTATTTTTTTATAAAATTGCAGTCCCCCCTTAAGTAGGCACATAGCTTAGAAGTATTTCTGGATCTGCTGTTGTTCCTGGATGACCATGTAATAGCCATGTTGTTGGCCAGTATAATTCATAATTTAATTCCATCTACAGTAGATAAATTTAATATGCTCTCTTTGAATCTCTGTTTGAAGTATGTGATTTTTTCCAAAAGAGATAATCAGGGATAGTGTTTCAGATATATTGTCACTGGGCCTGGGGATCTGAATGTGTGGTGGAATCCATACAGTGGTTGTGCTGATTTGTGTTGGTGGTTTGTTTTCACTTTGGGTGTAGATTGCATGTATGTTGTTGTTTTCATTGCTTTTATGTTTTGTTTTGTTTTTTGCTATTTGAATAATTGTTAGGTGCCCAGAGTCATGAGTTTGGGATGGGCAGTGATATAAATTGGAATAAATAAATAAATTCCATCAGTTTTTTTCTGGCTACACTGAATGGTATTTGCTTCTAAGCAAACTTAGAGTAGTAGTTTAATGTTAATGTTTAATAGTTGTGTAATGTCTCCCACATGTCCATCAAACTGTGTGCCTAGCTCTGTTCATGCAGCCAAGAACTAGCTTTCCTAAAAAGTTTTAGGAACATATTGACTGCTGTAATTAATTTTGTACAAATATCACTTTTATGTTATTGAAAATATTAATTGAAATTATATGCATGTACATATGCACTCACGTTTTAATAAATAGGTAAAATAACCAGTTTAACTTTACTGCTGGGGGTACTGCAGTACATGGTTTGAATCATTAGTAAGACTTTTCTTAGTATTGATGTCTGCTAGAGAGCCTTCAAAAGGCTTCAGATTCCTGAACATATCACTCATAAGCAGTGAAAATATACATAATTCTATATTTCCAGTGAAATATGTAATCTTGTAAATATTGTAAGCTTATTTGTAGTGGTAGTAATCAGCATTTACATTTTATCTATGCCCTATCTTTTCACGATAACTCTACTCATAATTCATGAACATGTCTATTTTACAAGCAGTTGGCATGCAAAATGTCTTGTTTTACTTGCATAGAACATAATACTATATATTCTTCTTACAGAATTAAGACTAGGTCAACATTGACTGAAAATATGCTTTCTAACAAATTACGATTTGATGGTAGATTAATATCGAGGTATGCCTACAACAATTTTTAAACTATTTTTTCTTATTTTGAAAGTAACTGAGCATGCTACTTCCATAACCATATCTTAGTCCAATTACTTTCTAATAAAATAGCATAGCAATATTACAGTTTACATTTGATTTTCATCCAGTGTTATTTATACCTTATGGTGATCTGCTGTATGCACATTTTATGGAATCATAATCAGGTGCTAGATTGATGATAAAATGCAGACTTCCCTCAGTACGTAGTAGGGATAAAGTAGTAAATGGTATTTGGTCATCAGTATCCTTTAATTGATTTTTTTGTGGTTCTTGTGAACACAATCACACATTGTATTAATCTTTCCCCCTCATGTCATAGTCCTAACTAAAGTATCATTCTGCAGAGTGATCTCTTGCAGCAATTGCTGGTCAAAATTATGTTTACCTTAAATACTAAAATATTTTATATTTGGTCCTTAGACCTGTTAACTGGATAGAGCACTCATACATAGTGGGCCTGCTTGGAAGTAATATGCTTGCCCCAATACTCACATTCTGATCAGGGTTAGTGGAGAACTCTCAGCAGAAGAAAACATTCATGGTTAAATGTATATTACACAAACTAACATAACATGAAATTTACTTAAAATAGAATGTTCTTTCTGTCTGTCAAGGATTCATTTTTATTTTTTAAGAAATCTAATAAGTTTTTTTTCCATTATAGAAATGGACGTGATGCTTGTCGAGAACTGATTGGATTTTACTTTGCATATGACAAATCTTTAACTATATATGAATATCGACAATTTGGTAAAAATAGGTATGTATATCGGCTGGTGGGGCCCAGGAGGAGAGCCTTCTCTGCTGTTGCCCCCACCCTTTGGAATATTCTCCCCCCAGAGATGCGGCAGGCTCCTACCCTCCTGG